GAATATCTAGGGTACGAAAGGTATGATGGGATTTGAAGCCATGGCCTGATTTACACCTTTTTCAAATCTTCGTTTAGTTCGTCGGATTCTAAAAAATTAGTAAAATTTCGACTTGCTCAGTCTTGGAATTTAATTAAATTAGGTACTGCTGAATGTCAAATTTCAAAAAAATGAAATGTACATGTTATCTTCCAGAAATTTTTCTGCATATTGCACGTATTTATTACAGGAAGCATGGGATTCCGTATACAGAACAGTTGTCTGACTTGTAGTGAGGCAGCCGCTGCTCTTTCGATGGCCATTATCCGCACTGAGCCACATGTAAGCTGCTGGAAGCTTTTATAGTAAACTAAAGTTCTATTTCTAACTGTTGCGGGATGGACTGTAGTCAAACGTTATTAAAAATGCATTCCATTTTTGTTTTTGACTGAGTAAAAGAGTGAATCAGTACGTATATCTCCCAGAAAACTTCTAGAAACCTGTTTGTTGTTGATTTGACTTCGCTGGTATTCTCTTGCTGTCTTAGCCCCCTGGATCCTTGGTGTTCCCGGCCTTTTTTTCCCTAAAGTTTCATTTGCTGTGTTGGTGATTCTGCTCTCCGCATTAAATTCACATTCTCATCTATTTGGCAAACAGCTGCCAATCAGTGCCAGAAAATTAGAACTTCATGTTGAGATCAAAAGGCGACAGAGGGCATGACATTCTTTCCTAGAAACATTTTATAACTTCGTTATTTCTGTGTATTTTCGCATCTTTAGGTAAACGTAAAAATGTATATTTGTCAAGAGCTTGTCGGTGTGTGTGTGTGTGTACATTTGGATTTTTGTCAGCTGCATTCAACTCAGCAGCCGCAGGAAATGCCGAGCTGAAATTTTACAAGGATGTTCATAGCTCACGCGCACATGTATTGTTTTGTGTTATGCACTTGGTTTTAAATTATTTTTGAGAGATTGCGATTTAATATTCTTTATTTTCTTCTAGGTAACATCGGTAGCGTTTTCGGACGAATTGGTACCGTTGGACTGGAGAAAGGACATGAATCTATCTGAAGTCGTGCAAAATGCTAAAGAAATTACAATGGGAGCAACAGACTGTGCGCTGCCAATGCTTTGGGCAGAAAGAAATGAAAAACTGTTTGATGTTT